CACTGATAGTGACATACCATTGATGATACCCTTACGGATGACACTGTTGTGGTCACCAGAGAATAGTTGTGACGCCTCCTCAACGCCTCCGCCCTAAGACATCGACAGACAATGGCATCAATACATGGATTCAATACAATACATGCATTCAATACAACACATCATATAATTGACAATCAATTCAATACTCCATTCAATTAGTGGTAAATCATATGAAACAAGAGGTTTATAGCAATCGTCTGATGCTATCAATGGTTAAGACATAGACCTGATTGTTGTGGCGTCTGATGGGTTGGATGTGTTGGGCTCTCGAGGAAGTGGTGTCTTGAGAGGTGTAGTCATTGTAATCGCTATCATACTCTCGTTTAACTAATTTCAATGGTTTCTCTTGACATTGGATGTGATAATCACTGACATTAAGACTACGTTTCTTTCCCAAACCCATTGAAGACATTGAGATATCAATTGGTTTGCGATTTATGGTTATATTAAACACAATGTCTTATAATATCTAATAAATGACTATGAATTTGATTATATTAACTCTAAATGATTTCAATTGACATTCAATTCATTTGTCGATTAGTAGTCAATGTTTACATCAATTCAGTGCACAATTGGATACAAAGGTTGCTATTCGTAGGCAAATGGTCTTCAAGTGTATGAACCAAATGTGATGTAAATGTGAATTGAATCACAAATTGCTATTAATTGTGATGAGAGTGAGTTAACTGTAAATAAGTGGTGAATCATAACATTCAATACAATACACACTACTTATAGACAGTGTATAGCCTTAGGCCGACAGCTGGCAATGCTTTGCATTACGTTATGTTCACTACTGTTAGACCCATACAGTTGTGCTCTACTGTACTGTCTGTGCCATACATTCACACCAATGCTGAAAACGATGCCTTTTTTGTTGTTCACTTCACTCTACTCTATCTCTACTCCATAGGCATCACTCCATTCAGTGTATGCCATACACATCATCCCTACTCCACACCGAGACACACATTAGCCTCCAATTCATACCAAACCCATATAAGCCTATCAATAGCCCCTCTATTGCAGCATTCAATCAGTTTTGTCAAAAATTATCACTAATTCTTACC